CAGTATGTTAAGCTGCTTCACAGGAGGACAAGATAAAGCTACAAAACTTTGCATAGTCCTTCATTGTTCAAGAGGACAGGTGGCACAGTGTAGAGATCACTGAATCTGGTATCAGGAAGAGCTGGGCTTAAATCCCAATCTGTGTGACCCTGGACAACTCATTGAACCTCTAAGCCTCAGTTTCCTCATTCAAAGTAGAGGAAAGGTGCCATAGTGGATACAGAGCTGACCTTGGCCCCTAGAAACAATGGTGTCAAACTCAACTAGAAACAGATCTCTATGGGGGAGTATTGATCCAGAAAACCATAAATTAACACTATCCATGTTGCATTGTGTTTTTATTTATCTTGCTAAATGTTTCCCAATTCCATTTGAATCCAGTTCAGGTGGGTTTTTTTATTTTTGCCTTTTTGGTGAGGCAATTGGGGTTAAGTGACTTGCCCAGGATCACACAGCTAGTAAGCGTCAAGTGTCTGAGGTCAGATTTGAACTCAGGTCCTCCTGACTCCAAGGCAGGAGCTCCATCCACCTCGCTGCCCCTTTACCACTTACTTTTGAAGGTCGTGTCACCAAGAGCATCTTGGTACCCACCTATGAGGATTTGGTATAAAAATACAATGAAACATAGATAATAGTTTTCTAAGTCTGCTTATCTAAACTTCATAAGTGCAGCTAAGTAAGAGATTTCTTACTGCCTCCTCACCTATCTTGAGTTTCAGTTCCTCATTACCTATTTTTGTTCTGTCTTTACCAGTTTGAAAATTGTTCCCCTTGGTAGACAAAATAGAAGCAAATGAAGAATTGAGTGGTTCTATCTTCTCCCCATCATTGTACGCTGTCTTTATCTAGCACACCCACAAGCAGCAATCCTATTTCTTCTTTGATCTTCCATTTACTGCTCCACAGAACTTTAAAAATGTCCGTTCTCTTGCCATGCCATTCATCAGTTCTATTCAGTTCACCAGCTACTTACTCTGTGCAAAGCACTGGAGGCAGAAAATGAGGCAGTGCCTTCCTTCAAGAGGCTTACATTCTCCTGAGGGTGTATCGTCAGTAGCTTCAGGTTGTGCTGAGTTGAGCACTCCAGACACAACATTTCCAGGATAACATTACTCCTTTGTATTCTTCCTCAATTATCTACCCTAGGGTCTATCTACTCTAAGCATGTGTTTCGTTTTGTTTTGTTTTGTATTAGTAGATCAATGACTTCCCTTTGCAGCCTCGTCTATTTAGTTGGACAGCTCCCCCTTCCTTTCCTTGGGATCATTTCTGTTTGTATCATCAGAATTTTCTTCTTTGAGAGCATACCATACCTCTTGAGTTAACTTCCTCCATCAAATCTTAGGTCATGGAATTCCCTTGCTAATCTTTTCCCAAAATTGAGTGTCACACTATACCCAGATTCTTCTTTGTTACCTGATCAGACTCTAAAATGGAGAAGTCACTCCTTTGCAAGCTTCCTGTTATTTCTACCCTGGCACCCAGTTCCTAGTCAGAATAAGGCCCATAAAAGTAATTCAACTGGTTATTTCCTTTACCTTCTGAAGAACGAAATTACCATCAAGGCCAACCAAGCAACTTTAATGTTCATAGTGAGAGACATCCAGCAAATGTCCCCATCAACACTATATCATGCCTACCATACCAAGCTGACATACTTCTTAGACTCATCATTCATTGCCTCCTTTTGATCAGGTGGTCTATAGAACTCTCCTATCACAATATAGGTTATGGTCTTCCCTCTAGAATCTTCACCCACATGCCATGGGATTGACCATTAGACACTAGATCCAGAGCTGAGAGGGACCTCAGTGGTTATACAATCTAACCACTTCATTTTACAGATGGGGAAACTGAGGTCCAGAGAAGTGACTTTTTCAAAGTCCCTCATGTAACAGGTAGCAGAGTCAGGATTCAAACTCAGATTGTCCAACTCCAAATCTTGATTTCAGTGCTTCCACTCTTGGCTAATGAATTTCCCCATATGATTATATGTTCTTGATATATTCCTCCTCTTATCTAATCTGCTCTGTTTTGGATAAGAGACCACTTTCTATTGGCTATCATGAGCCATGTTCCCCTAAGTCTCAGTGATAACTAGACTTAAAGCCTGGCTTTGTGATTTCTTTGACATAGGTAATTCCCTTATGAGAAAACTCCCTCTACCCATGTAGGTGGGCACCTTCTCAGAAACTTCCAGCTTTAAGGAATTGCCTAGGGCAGTAAGGGATTATGTAACTTGCCCCTGCTCACACAGTCAATGTCAGAGATGGGACTGGAAACCAGTTTATTTTGTGCACCCAGGCACCAGCAAGAAGACATACAGCTTCTTCTCTTCTGGGTAAGGACTGGTGGTGAGCACCTCGACTCCTCACCATGATCCCCTCTCTTTATATCAGCCCTAGATCAGTATGTGCCAATGGGGAAGATTAAGTCCTCAGAAATCTGCTAACAATTGTGCAATTCAGAGCAAGTCAGTTGCTGTCTCTGAGTCTCACTTTCTTCATCTATAAGATAGGAAAAACAACAACTCGTATCACATAGGGTATTATGGGGCTTAAATAAAATAAACATGTGAAGCATTTTGCAAACCTTAAAGTACTAAACGTCAGCTTGTTGTTTTTGTTGTTATCATTACTATTCTCTTGTTCTAATGGAAAAATCACTGGTTTTGGAGTTGGAGGGTCTGGGTTCAAATTTACTACCTAAAAGCCTTTGAACACGTCACTTAACCACCAGAGTCTCAGTTTAATTATTTATAAAATGAGGGGATTGGACTAGATGTCTTTTGAAGACATTTCCAGTTCATAAATTGTGATCTTATAATCCTAAGATTTTTGTTTAACTACAACTCAAACAGAAACAATCCTGGGTCAAGTTGCTAGCCTGTTATTATTTCTTTATTTTTAATGTTCTATAGACTAATGCACAAGAGAATAAAAACCTTTTTGTAGCTGGATGAAAGCATTAGGATGTCAGCTGATCCCGGGTAGACAGACTCACCAAAAGCATCCTCTGGAAAGCTCCGATAGCAGAGTGGGCAGCCGGGCTAATGCACATTTCATCCTCTTCTCATGTAATCTTGATCTCCTCTCCCAGGTCCCTCTATTTTGAAAACTTTTCATTCCATGTAGCTTGGAGGTGATGAGTAATTGGCAAAGTAATATCTATAAAAATATTGTCCTTAAATTTTAATAACCAATGCTGGGGTTTTTTTTGTTTTGTTTTGTTTTGTTTTGCTATTTGGGGCAATAGTTCAATCCATGATAATGGTCTAGTTTTGGTGTGGTTGAAGTTTGATTGAGTTCAACAATCCATTGGTTGAGTTCTCCAGGTTGTTCTGAAGTATGTTTGAGCATTTGTCATCACCATGATTATTATTATTAGGATAGGGATAGGGACTATGTCTGTGATTTCAATCGTATAGGGGACTCCCTGGTGAGAAAATTCCCTCTGTCAATACAAGTTGGCACCTCCTTTGAAACTTACAGCCTTTGAGACTTGCCTGTGGTACTAAGAGGTTAAGTGACTTGCCCAGGGTCACACAACCAGTCTATGTCAATGATGAGGCTTGACGTCAGGTCTTTCCAATTTTGAGGCTAGCTCTCTATTCACTACTCTGTGCGGTCTCTCTAGCATTATTAATCATCATTTTTAGCAGACAGAAAGTTCATGATCTTTTCTTCAGTATTTCAGAAGTTGCATGATTTCATTAATGTGGATCCTCCCTCTGACTGCCATCGGCCACAGCCCAGAGGTTAGCTGTGTTCATTAGTTCTTGAGGCCAAAGTAATTCCTCTGCCAGTGGCCGGCTTTCCTGTGATGAACTCAATTGAACTCAGTCAGGTGGATACTTGGGAGACTGAAGCACAGCCCACATGTAACTCAGCATTGCCCCCTTGGTAGGATTGCCAGAATAGGCTTTGAGAATAGATTTTGAAAGTCTTAGGGGACCTCGCAGGTACAATGAGATATCTGAGAGGAACCTGAGTGCTTGTCATGCTATCTAGAGAACAAGAAGATATTTCACTCTTCACAGAGGGTGCCATTCCACAGATCTACCAATGAGACTACTGATAGGGAACAGGGGGAAGACTGAAGCCCAAGCTGGGGGGGGGGGGGATTCTCTCAGACACAGAGGAATAGCAGAAAGAGTCCTAGGCTGGGAGGCTAAGACCTAAGGTCAAAATCCAACTCTGTGTGGTCTGGGACAATCCACTTCTCTCTGGATCTCCGTTTACCCATGTTTACTACAATGGCTGAAGTTGTACTGAGTGCCCTTTAAGATCCTTGGGGGTCTAATGATCTATGAGCTCTGGGATCAGGCATTTTTCTAGCTCTTTCAATCTGCAAAGTGATTTATGGACATGAGCTCATTTGGTCCTCACAACAACTCCATGAGGTAGGTGCCATTATTATTCCCATTATACAGATGGGAAAACTGAGATGGAGAGAAGTATAGTGACTTGCCCATGGTTGCACAGTCAGTAAGAATCTGAGGTGAGATTTTAACCCAGGTCTTCCTGACTCCAAGTTTAGAAGTCTATCTAGATTAACAGAACATAGGTTGAAACCCAATCCCTGATTTTTATTGTCTGTGTTACTATGGGCAGGTCGCTTCTCTTCCCTGGGCCTCAGTTTCCTCATGTGCAAACCGAGGGCTTAAAGTAGATGGCCTATGAGATCGCTTCCAGGTCTCGATCTGTGATTCTATGATGCATATACCTAGGGCTGTGTGAGTAAATGTTTAACAACCAGCTCCCCTTTGCATGTCACACTGACCTGCCTTATTATCATTTTCATTATTATTATCATTTTCTTTCCATCACTTTTTTAAGTCTAGAAATAATCAACCAAACAATAAATCGAGCCCTGATTTGGAACATTTGCTGATTTCCGAGGTAAATGCTCACACGGAAATTTCACAATCAGCTCTCCAGGGCATGATCCCTCGCTAGCCTCCCCCTGCCTAAATCCCACCAGTATTTCTCCATTTTCAGACCCACCGGAGCTGAGTCAAATTGAAGTTGAGGAGCTCCAGACGATCCAGTGGCATCGGAAACAGCTTCTGGACGACATCCAGGTCTGTGCCCTGCTCCTACATAGGGACCAGCTGCTGGCTAGGACCCAACCAGATGTGACCCGTTACCGCAAGCAGAGGTTTTAGCCAAGCCTTCCTGCTTCATGGCTTAGGAAGGAGGAAGAGAAACAGCCCATCACACCAAAGAGGCAAATTTCAGCTCATTGTCAGTAAAGATCCTCCTAGTAATCTGAGCTGTCCCAGAGTAATGGATTGCCTGGGTTGGTAGTGAGCTCCCCATCACTGGAGGTTTTCAAGCAGAAGCTGGATGATCCTTTGGCAGGGAAGTTGAGGTATGGGTCAGACTATATGGTCCCTGAAGTCTTTTCCAACTCTGAGATCCAAGATGGCAGAGAATCAGCACCTTGTGGCTGAAACCTGTTTCCCAAGCAGTAGCTGTATTTCTGAAGGAGCCAGGAACTCTGGGTCCCCTCTGGAAAGCCATGGGGAGAAAGGCTACTCTCCTTCCTTGCCAGTGCCTCTGAGGGTAATTTGGGGCAGATCTGTTCTCTTGGGTCCCCAATTCAGGTCTCTTGTCAATGGGAGAGAATTCCGTTTGCCACTGGGTTTCTCCTGAAGGTATGGGACTCAAACCTTTGATCGACTGATGACAGAAGGATCTTCCTTGATTATGCATTATCACACATCCTCAGTCTGGCCATACTGGCCTACTTTCCCAACTCCACACCTTTGCCTAGGCCATTCCCCATGCCTCAGGGGTACTGTGGAGACTGAAACTAAAATAACCTGGAAAGTCTTTATGATCTGGTATACTGGCATCCCTTAGGCCCTTCGGTCTTAGTCCTAGATGAGGTTGGAGCAAGCCTATTAGCAAACATTTATTAAGTACCTACTGTATACCAGGCACAGTATTAAGTACTGAGGATTCAAAGATAAAAGTAAAATGGCCCCTGTCCTCAAGGAGTTTACATTGTAAGGGAGAAGGGATGGTAGAGAATGTGAACATGTAGATATAAATGCAGAAAATGTACACAAATGGATACAATATAGCATAGGAGGAGCCAGGAGGGGAATTTATCATAGGTTTACCGCTGCTTCACCAGAAGGTGGTGCTGGAACTGAGTTTTAAAGGAAGCATTCCAAAAGGCAGAGACGAGAAGGGAGGGTGCTCCAAGCATGAGGGACAACCGGTACAAAGGTACGGAGTTGGGAAATTGAGCATCATGTTCAAAGTAGACCAGTACGTTTGGGTCTAAGTATGAGTAGAGGGGAGCCATATACGATCAGGCTGAAACAGCAGAAAGGGCAAAGCTGCACTGGGAACCACTGGGGATTCTGGGAGGGACTAATTCAATGGCAAACTGACCCCTTGGTCCTCCCAGTTAGACACACAGCTTCCACCCCGGTTACTATCTAACTCCATTCTTTCCTCTTTGTCTTGGCGTCTCCTGGGTGGCCGGTCCCTACTCGTGCAGAAGCTAAAGGATGAAATTGCAGAAGTGTTTGCCCAGATTGACTGCTTCGAGAACGCAGAGGAGAGGTGAGGAGGGAAGGGAGTGGTAGGCACATGCAGAACTTTGAGGTTTGGGTGTTATAATAATAGTTCACACATAAATTAGGAACTAGGTTTGTTTTTATTTCCCCTTGGAGGAAATAGTTTAGAGTAAGGGGCTGGTGACAGTGCAGAGGACAAAGAGGAAAAGGTATGGCCTCACTTTCCCATGAGGATCAAAGGGGACCACAAGCCCAAGGTTGGTACGTACCAGCACTAGGATCTCAGAGGTTGGTGCAGGCCAGCAGAGAACCTTGACACCAGAACCAGGAAGGAAGCACACCCTGGCAGGGGAAAATGCTCAGCTGTCCCTCCAGAAGGGAATGGGGAAGGAAGGAACGAGGAAGCTGACATCCAGAGTGAAGTCATCTTGAGCAAGAGAGGGGCATTCCTGAAGACAAAGGCCTGGAGGGGGGATTCTGCAGCAGAGGAGGAGGGGGCCTGGCCTGGGCTGACAGTCTGACCATTCCCTTCTCCGCTTCCAGTCGCCAGGCCCAGAAGGAGAAAGAACTATGCATCGGCAGGAAGAAATTCAACATGGACCCCAGCAAGGTAAGCGTTAAAGGGGATGAACCAGGGGCTACCGAGAAGGATGGCTCTATCTCTGGGCAGTGTCCAGCCAAGCTAGCAGGGAGAAAATCTCTAGAGCCTGGGAGAATTCAGGCTCCACCATCCAGAGGCATGGATCAGTTACCATACTGGGCAAGTATAGAAGGTGAGAAAAGAGTCCCACAGTAGATCAGGTAAATTCTCAGCAGGATAGGACAAGAGAAATAATTTTTTTGGTGATGTGTGTTTGGAGGGAATGGGGGTTAAGTCCCTGATTTCATCACTGTGGAGAAAAAGTGGAGAAACTGCCTCCACTGATGTAGATCTGGGGGTAGCTAGGTCTGGAAGTAGAGAGCGTGCCTGCTGGGTGGAGAGTCAGAAAGCCCTGAGTTCAAATCTATCCTCAGTTACTTAGTAGCTGTGTGACCCTGAGTAAGTCAATTAATCTCTTTTTGCCTTAATTTTCTCATCTGTGAAATGGTGATAATAATAGCCCCAACCTCCCAGGGTGGCTGTGAGGATCAAATGAGTTACTTGTCAAGTGCTTAGCACAGTGCCTGGCACATAGTAAGCCCTATATAAATCATCTGCGATTTCCCATCATATAGTATTCCCTGGAGCATCCCAGACTAGCTTCCTATCTACAGCGCCTCAGTTTCTCAAAATAACAATAACAACAATGATTTTTTCTCTTCCTCCCTCCATGGCCTCATCATGGCATTAAAATGCCCCCTGGGCTCCTGAGGGGTAGGAGAGCTTTCAAAGAGCCAGGTGGGGGTCTCCATATCTGCATGACTCGTCCCCAGTTTTGGCCCCATTCGGGGCAGGGGGACAACTCCCCCAAACCATCCACTGAGGTTCTGGAGAGTTGCAGTCTGTGCCCCATTGATGAAATCACAGATTCCCTCAAATAATCTGTGTAAGAAAGACAATAACCATTCCTCTGGAACTTTCCAAAGCCTACAGTAGGCTTTCCTCAGACTAGTCCTGTGAGGCAGGAAGTGGAAAGGCTATTATGTCCATTCTACAGATCAGAAAATCCTAGATTTAGAACTGGAAGGGACCTTAGGGACTAGCCTAATCTCCCCATTTGACAGATGGGCAAACTGAGGCCTAGAGAGGTGAAATAACCTGGCCAAGACTGAAAGGGCAGCAAGTGGCAGAACCTGTAGTCCAACTCAGGTCCTATGCCTATGGAGAGAGCTCTTTCCATAGCATCGTGCTGCTCCTACAGAGTCACAGCTGCTCTCCTCTTCCCCCTCCCCCACTCACACCACCTGCACCAATGGTGCAGCTGTTTAAACACACACACACACACACACACACACACACACACTCACACACGGAAAGACTCCTCCTTTTTCCTTGGGCCACGTCACTACCCTATCTCTGGCCCCTCTTCCCGCAGCCCTGACAGGCATACCAAGAAAGAAGAAGAAACCACAAACCACCTCCGTGAAGTCTGAAGGTGGCCGGAGCAGCAGCACGAGAGTCCTGGACATTTTCTGCCTTGATCTAGACTTTGTGGTTGTCCCTATGTTTCTCTGTCCCCCTAGCCCAAGGGCCCCAGAAGCTGCCCAGCGTTCTCTGCATTCCTAGCTCATGTCTGGCCTGGGTCGAGTCTTCCAGGAAGGCTGCTTTGGTGACCACAGCCCTCTCTGTCTGGTAGCTAGTCTGGGAAAACCTCCAAAAGGAGGAATGAAGGAAAAGAAGGAAATTCCAGGCAGATTCTATGAGATTAGTGAGAGATGGGACAGCCCGCCTGTGGAATGCTGGGCAGACCTTCGGGATGAAGCTGGTCCACAAAGCCCAAGCAGCAGCTCAACTCTGAGAAGATCTGAGGCCAGAGGATGGCTCACCCTGCCCCTGCTAAGAGCAGCCCAGCGAGGAGTTGCTCTGCCATTGGCCTTGGGCCTCAGCTAGGTCTGCTTTCATCCCCTGGCGGAGGACAGCCTGAGATCAAGTGTTGACGTCAGCTGTGCCGCTTCCTACCTGTTTGACCTTGATCAAATCATGTCGCCTCTCTTGACCTGTTTCTTCATCTATAAAATGAAAGGGTGGCACTATATGAGCCCCTCGAAGCCAGCTCAGAAACCTGGCAGCCAAGAGAGCTGGGTTCAAATACTTGGGCAACAGGGTGGCATAATGACTAGAGTGCTGGGCTCGGAGTCAGGAAGACCTGAGTCCAAATCCTGCCTCAGACTCTTATTAGCCGGGGACATGAGAGCTGGTCAAGTGGAGATGTTTGGTTAGGGAAAACCCCAAAGTACTCTACTCCTCCCAATTCCCAACCACTCACTCTTTCATTCCCTCCTGGAGGCCTCCCTGCCTCAATTTCCCCTCAGCATGGACAGGAATATAAATATTGGTCTTATGCCAATGCTTTCTGCTGGCTTGGAGATAGATAAATATGTATATGCACATGTACACACATGTACATATATACATATACACATATGTATGTGTGTGCATATACATATATACACAGATAGGTACCCAAATGTGTATGTACATATACATGCACATGTGCCTAAGTATGCACATACACATATGTAGGTACCTAAATATATGTGTACATATACACACATATCTATATAATATATATACTTGCATAGATACCTAAATATGTGTACATATATGTGTGTCTATATGTATATATACACACAGAGGTACCGACATATGTGTGTATGCTACTTTTTAATTTTTTTACTAAATGTGTTTGCTTTTTAGTGAGCATACTTCCTATTTTCCTTAGGGCTTCCAGAAGAACAGGAGTTTGTATAGGCAGGACTGTGTTCCTCCAACCAGCTTTGGAGCTCCTTGGAATAAAGACAATCCAATTAAACAAACATGCTTTCCTCTCCCTCTCCTTCTCCCCTTCCTTTGCCTTACTCTTCCTCCTCTGGTGAGTCATCATAGCATTAAAAGTGAGCCTGGTACAGTGTGAGCCTGGCACATAGTAGGCACTTGATAAATCACTGTTGAGTGATTGTTAGGTAAGTGCTTATAATTTCACTAATCATTAACAAATAATAGCTCTCATTTCTTACCAAATATTGCCTCCATAACAATCCTGAGAGGTGAAGTATGTGGTACAATTATCATTATTCCCATTTTACAGAGGAGAAAGCTGAGTCTCAGAAAATCAAATTGACTTGTTCAGCTGTCCAACAGCTACCAAGCATCAGAGCAGCCCAGGTCTCCTAACTTCCGGTCTGGCACTCTTTTCTCTCTGAAACTAAACCAACACTGTTGGACATTCTGTGCTAGGTACTAGGATTACAAAGATGAAACATGGCAGAGTCTGCCTTCAGGAAACTTGCACTCTGGTAAAAAGTGACCCCTTCCTCTTTAGACTGGGAGCTTGGAAAGAGTGGGAATGATGCTTTCTGTATATACTCTCCCCTCAGCAGCTCTCTGGCAGGGTTCCTGGTCCATGTCAGGGGCTGTCAGACAGATGGATGGTCACTATCCCTTACTCAATGTTTCTTCTCTTCGCTGCCCGCAGGGGATCCAGTATCTTATTGAACACAAGCTTCTGTCCTCCAATATAGAGGAAATTGCCCAGTTTCTCTATAAGGGGGAGGGACTGAACAAGACAGCCATCGGGGACTACCTGGGGAAGAGGTAAGCACATCCCTCTTCTCTCCTGACAATTCCTACACTCAGTGGGAAAAGCAGCCACCAAACCTACATGGAACATTCAACATTTAAACCATTGGAGAACTTTCCATGTGTGATTCCAGGGGAGGGATTCTTTTTACAGATAGGGAGACTGAGAATAGGGAGGCATGACTTGGCCAAGATCACACAGCAAGTCTGTAGTGATGTCAAGGACACATCAGGCTCTTTTTAAAAATTATTTCACATCAGGATCTTCTGGTCCCCAAGAACTGGAACCTTTCTAAGTACAAAGGTACAAGGTAGGAGGAGAAAGAAACTTCCAAATACTAAGTGCTGTCCCAAGGTGTAACGAGCTTCCTCGGAAGCAGTGATCTCCTCATCACCAGAATTCTTCCAGCAAAGAAAATGACCATGTACTTCATTTCCTCATTCAACAAGTCTTTATTCAACCCTATGTGTTAAGCACTATGCTAGGTGCTGAGGAGGCAAAGACAAAATGGAACAGTCCCTGTCCTTGAGAAACATATCTTATTGGAATATAGATCATAGAATCATAGATTTGGAGCCAGAAGGCAGGCTACCAATTTCAAATCTCTTATTTTACAGATGGGGGAAACTGAGGCAAAGGGAGGTTAAATGACTTGCCCAAGGTCACACAGCTAGTGTCTAAATCAGGATTTGAATTTAGGTCTTCATGACGCCAAATCCAGTGCCCTAGTCACTACTCCACCACAGGGTAGAGGTTCAGTTCAATTTAATTGACCCAACGTTTATTTATTAAGGACCCACTATCTGCAGGGAATTCAGGAAAGATACCAAGTTGAAGACACATGATAAACTGACAGAAAGAATGAATAATGAGAGCAGAGTCTGATCTGTCCCCTCTCTTCCTCCACCCCTTCCCTAGGGATCCATTCAACCTCAAGATCCTTCAGGCTTTTGTGGACTTACATGAGTTTGCCAACCTCCACCTAGTACAGGCGCTGAGGTGAGTGCCATCACAGCAAGAAGGAGGGAATGAAGGAATAAATGAGAAACACTGACTAATTGCTTATTTTGGACCAAGAACTACATTAAGCACTGGGGATATGACTATAAGCAAGCAAACCACCTCTACCCTCAAGGGGATCACAATCTAATAGGAAATGACAAAATATAGCGGGGAGTGGAGGTCAGAGCTTTGTGTGTAGGACAGGAAAGTAGGAGAGAATGCTTATCAATGTTATAGGACAGTTTAGAGAACCCAGAGCTCCTGGTGTGATCCAGAGGGCAGCAGATGACCTGAGATCACAAATAAGGGTCTTTCAAAGAACATCATTGTGAAGAGGGCAAGGTCATAAAGTGCCCTGCGCTGCAGAGAAGTCTTGCTTAGAGGAAGAATTGAGGAAGAAGAAATAAAGTTTCATCAATCTAGAGCTGGAAGGGACTTTCAAGGCTGTTTAGTTCAGCTGCCTTTATTTGACAGATGAGGAAACTGAGACTAAGAGAAGTCAAGTGACTTACAAAGATTATACAGATAGTGTTAGAAACAGGATTTGAACCCAGAGCCTCTGAATCCAGAGACTCTTTCCACTGCCTCCCTGCAGTTCAGGAGAGAAAATTTGTACTTATAGACAATAATAATAATAGCACATATATCCATATATGTATATATGCACTCTTTATTCAGAAAAGAAAATTTGTACTTATTGACAATAATAATAATAGCACATATATACATATACATATGTATGCACTCTTTATTCAGGAAATAAAATTTCTACTTATTGACAATAATAATAATGACAATAGCATATATCCATATAGATACACACATTCTTTATTCAGGAGATAAAATTTATACTTAGTGGCAATAATAGTAGCTTATATATAATTGTTATATTACATATAATACACGTTGCTTGAATGTTTGCAAAGCATTTTATGAACATTGTGTCATTTTTATCCTCACAACAACCCCAAGAAGTAGGAAGGAAGGAAACAATCGTTTATTAAGCACCTACTGCATGCTAGGCACTGGGCTAAGTACTTTACAAATATCTCATTTAAGTTTCACAACAATCTTTGGATGTAGGCGCTACGGTTTGCTGCTTATATTTATATCCCTGCTTTATATTTAAAAAAACTGAGGTAGATAGAATCTAGGTGACTTGCCTGGGGTCACACGGCTAGTAAGTGTTAAGTATCTGAGGCCACATTTGAACTCAGGTCCACCTGACTCCTAGGTCCGGCACTCTGCACACTCTGGCATCACTTAGCTACATGAGTGGCATGCTCTAAGTACTAGAGGAATTCTAGAGAAGGGAAGAATTATTGGGGTTAGGATTAGCTAGGAAGGATTTGAAATCATAGACTGTGAAAGCTGGCGGGGGGGCCTTTAGAATAGCAAATGTCAGAGCATCAGAGGTGGAAGGAACTCTAGAAACCCACAAGTCCAAGCTCCTCATTTCACAGAAGAGAAAACTGAGGCCCAGCTGAGTTTATAGAAAGAACGGATTTTGAGGTTGGCCAAGTGGGAGGTGGAAGGAGGTGGTGGAGGGGCAGAAGTCCTAGCAGTCCAAGTGCTCAGCTCCTGTGGGCTAGAAACTCATCTCCCCCAGGAGCTACCCTGTCAGTCCCTGACCCCTTCTGCTCCTACCAGACAATTTTTATGGAGCTTCAGGCTTCCCGGGGAGGCCCAGAAGATCGATCGGATGATGGAGGCCTTTGCAGCCCGTTACTGTCTCTGCAACCCAGACGTCTTTCAGTCCACAGGTAAAAGGACTTTATCCTTTACTAGGTCTAAGGGGGAAAGGGACAGATGCAGTCAGCTGCAATCTGAAGTGGTGCAGGGGATAGAGTATTGGACCTGGAGTCAGGAAGACCTGAGTTCAAATCCAGCCTCAGACACTCCCCACCTGGTGACCCTGGGCAAGCCACTTAACCTTTGTTTACCTCAGTTTCCTCATCTGTAAAATGGGGATAATAAGCATACCATGGTTGTTCTGATGATCAAAAGATAATTATTGTAAAGCTCTTAGCATGGTGTCTGGCATATAGTGAGTGCTATATAAATGTTAGTTGTTTTTATCAAATGAGTTATTATTTATAAAGAGATTTGCAAACCTTAAATTATTATATAAATGCTAGCTAGCAACTGTTAATATTCTTCAGTGTGTGGGCTTCCCAATGTGGAAACTCCCTCCATTTGTTGTGAGACTCGGAGATCAATCACGTAAAATGCCTTGACAACCTAAGCCAGCTATCATCTTTCCAACACTAATTTTTCTAGGCATTTTCCTCCCAAACAGCCCTTACAACAGGCAGTGCAAGTATTATTATTCTCTTGTTTCAGAAGAGGAAACTGAAGCTCAGAAAGGGGAAATGACTTGCCCAGGGTCACACAGCTACCTCACCAGGTTGTTTGTACTGGGATAGAAAAGGGAGTAATTAGCCTTTCTAGCCCTGGCCCCCAAGACATACCTTGTGTGGCCCTAAGCAAGGCCTCCTTGAAGAGAGTGGCACCTGACACCCTACAGGGTAGATGTGGAACCCTACACACTCCTGGGATCATGACCCTTCTCCTCTCCCGTCAGACACTTGCTACATCCTGTCCTTCTCCATCATCATGCTCAACACCAGCTTGCACAACCCCAACGTCCGGGACAAACCCCCCTTCGAACGATTTGTGTCCATGAACCGAGGGATCAACAATGGTGGGGACCTGCCTGAGGAGCTCTTGAAGGTACTGGCTGCCCCCTAATCTTCCCATTCCTGGGGTCACTGAGGCATCCGTCCTCACCTGGTCCCCTGGGACAGTGCTGTGAAACTCAAACACTCATTGGCTTAGAAAACCACAAGTTAACATTAGCTATGTCACGATGCATTTTTATTTGCTTTGTTAAACATTTCCTGATTATGTTTTCATCTGTTGGTACTGCACTGGGGAGGTTCTGGCCCACCTCTGCCCTAGGGGAAGGGGAGTCAGAAGCTGGGGTTTGAGGTCCTTACTCTAACACTGACAGCCTGTGTGACGTTGAAACTTGACTTCAGAGAGAAGGAGTAATCACTGAAATCACTGAAATCTGTGTTTCAAAGGCAGACCAGCATGCACCACTCCTTCTATTCAATTCAGTAAGAATAATTCAGATTTGTAGAATGCTTTAAAGTTTGCTGATTGCTTTCTGACATACATTGTTGGAGCTAGAAGGAACCTTAAAACATGGAATGTCAGAGTTGGGACGACTCTTAGAACATGGAATGTCAGAGCTGGGAGAGACCTTAGAACAAGGAATGTCAGGGCTGGAAGGGGCATTAAAACAGAGGATGTCAGATCTGGGAAGGGGCTTAGAAAATGGAATGTCATAGCTGGGAGGAGCCTTAAAACAGGGAACATCAGAACTGGGAGGGTCCTGAGGGCACGGAATGTCAGATCTGAGAGGGGGCTTAGAACAGGAAATGTCAGAGTTGGGAGGGGCCTTAGACAGGGAGTGTTTGCCTCTAACGTTTTATTAGAGGCAGCTCGATACCAGAGAGATCACTGGATTTGAAGTCAGCAAGCCTAAGCTTAATTGTTTCCTCTGCTATTTACTCTTGTGTGACCTTGGTCCAGACTCTTTGGGCCTCAGTTTCCACATCTGTAAAATGGAAGGAGTGAGCAGAGTGCCTCTAAGCCCTTCCCATCTCTAAATCCCTGACTTCCCACTGCCCCAGACTTCACATGGGTGTTGCTCCAGAGGCTACAGAATGGCGCCCTCGGATCCCTAGTGCAAAGGTAAAAGAAACCTCAGGGAGCACACTGTCCAACCCTCTCTTTTTACAGAGGAGTGAACTGAGACCCAGTAAGGGGAAGAATTTGCTCAGGGTCATACAGGGAGGATTTAAAGGCCAGGTCCCGGGATTGCTGAGCCAGAGATCTTTTCACAGCACTACCCTGCCTTCCCGTGTGGATAGAGCACTGGACCTGGAGACGGGAAAATTTGAGTTCAAATCCAGCTTCATACACTTAGTAGATGTGTGACCCTGGGCAAGTCACTTCTCCCTGTTTGCCTCAGTTTCCTCATCTGTCAGATGAGCTAGAGAAAGAAATGGCAAACCACTACAGTATCTCTGCCAAGAAAATTCCAAATGGGGTACACGAATACTTGGACAGGACTGAAAAAAGACTGAATAACAACCCTGCCTCCACAAGGATTCACCAACCTGAGTTTTCTCACCTGCCAAATAGAGGTATTAATCCCTCCACAGTTTGCCTCGAGGAGTCACTGAGAGGAAAGTGCTTTGTCATCCAGAGAGCCCCCGAGAGATGGGATTCTGAACCTATTTCTGCTCGCAGCAGCATCCATCCCCCAAAGGCCTTACTCAGCTTCTGCTTATTGGCTTTCCCCAGAATCCTCCCTTCAGTAAATAATAAATAACATGCTGCATTATTAGAGAGCCTTTAGCGGTTTTTTCATGTCCATTGTCTTCACTGACATTCAAAACAGTCCCTGGAGTTAAATGGAACAGGGATTGACAGTCCCATTTTATGGATGAGGCAATCAATCAGTTCATCAAGTATTTATAAAGTACCTACTGTGTACCAGCCACTACACCAGGTACTGTGGAGACAAAAAATGAAACATTTGCCTCCATCAAAAAGTTTGCACTAGGGGCAGCTAGGTGGTGCGGTGGATAGAACACTGGCCCTGGAGTCAGGAGAACCTGAGTTCAAATCCTGCCTCAGACACTTGACTACTAGCTGTGTGACCCTGGGCAAGTCATTTAACCCCATTGCCTAACCGTAAAAAAGAAAGAAAGAAAAAGTTTGCACTATTTTTTGTCAGAATCAGAAAAGAATTTTAAAATTATCTACCATCTTCACCTACTCCCTTCTCACCATTTTGTAGGTGAAAAAAGTGAGGCTCAGAAAAGGAAAGTGACTTCCCCAAAGTCACAACAAGAGGAAATGGTGGAACTCAGAACATCTGACTCCAATGCTGGTATTCTTCCCTCAAATACCAGGGAACCACCCACAGAGGTTGAGAGAACCAAATGACTTGTCAAAGGTCACACAGCCAGCCGGTCCCTAAGCCAGGGCTGCAGCCTGAATCCTCAGCCTCCCAATCTAGTTTGCTGATGAGGAAACGACTGGGCATTTGGTAACAATCCCAGCTGCTGGTCTGCAAAGGGCTAGATATCTGTGAGCTCTCCTGGGGCTTGCAAAAACCCTGCAGGGACCTAATGCAACTCCCACTCTCCCCATTGTACAGATGAGCAAACTGAAATTTCAATAAAGGGACAGGAAAGGACCAAGATCACACAGCTAGTCAGCAGCTCGGTTGAAGTCAGAGCCCATGCCTCCTGATGTCGTGATCAGAGCTGAATGACTGCCCTGGACCAGATTCCTTCCCTCTTCCTCTACTAGCCTCTTCTTGCTGTTTTTTTCTAATTCCATGTTCCTGATTTCTCCCTGGGCACCTCCAAAGGTGGGATTTTGCCATCTTTACTGCCAGGGGTATCTAGAGTCTTTGCTTGATTAAATCTTGCTCTATATCTCCTGTGCCCTAGGGGGGGAAATGTGTGTGTGGAATGTAGAGCTTTTGCTTAATTCAATTTTGATACAATTCCAACCTCCTAAGGGGGGAAAATCCTGTGGATTTTGGGGGTAAAAGAGGACTGGGGGCCAGTAGGGGACAGATCTAGGAAGGGCTACAATATCTCTGTGGATTTTTAAGCCTGGGTCAGGACTGCATTCCTTAGACCCCCTTCTCACTTCCTACTAATTTCAGTTTGGTGCCAAAGGGCTGAACTAGAAGAAAAATGGATGAAGGTTTCCAGGGGGCAGATTTCAACTTAGTGAAAGAAATAGCTTCTTACCTCAGAGCGATGCAGCAGTAGAATGAGCTGCCTGGTGAAGCAGAGATATCTACATCACTCCAGGTCTCTGAACAAAGCCTGGGTGGCCATTTTTCAGGGACACTGGAGATAGGGTTCTTGTTCAGGTATGGGTTGGATTTGATGGGCTGGGAAGTCCCCATGATTCTGAGATTCCAAGGCTCTAGAGATCATTTAGCCTAGCTTCAGTTATTTTTCCCACGGTCTCCAAAAAGGGACCTGCCCTATGGGTAACTTCACATTCAGATAACCTATAACCTATAGCTGATTGCTCACCTCAGGGGGAGGGGAGGGAGGAAGGGAGGAATAGAATTTGGAACTCAAAACCTAAAAAAAAACCCAAATGTTTTAAAAAAAAGTGTTTTAACATGTAATTGGGGAAAAAATAAAATCTATTAAAAGGAAAGGAAAGCTTATCATCTTAGAGCTAGAAGAGAGAACAGCCAGGCTACCCCTCTCTTTTTATAGATGAGGAAATTGAGACCAGGGGAAATCAAATGATTTGTCTAAGGTCACACAGACATTAAGTGGCAGAATTGGTATTCAAATCCAGGTCCTGTGACTTCAAATTTAGCACCACTCTTTCCACTGCACCAGGCTTGGGGCCCTTAAGCATACTTGTTCTAACCTCCTTCTACCCTATCCTCACCCCAACTCCTCCCCACCAATAAGTACCAGGGAAGTTCAGCTTCAGTTGCTACAAATGAATCAGGGGATCTGTGAATTTATCTTTTTTTGTGAAATTCTTTTTAAAATATTTTGACAAGTCTATTTCAATAGAAATGGATTCCCTTGTAACCCTGTGCATTTTATTTTATGCCTTTAAAAACATGATTCTGAGAAGAGTTACAAATGATTCACCAGACTGCCAAAGGGGATCTCAACTCAAAAATGGTTCTGATTCCCTAGTGTTTAGAATGATGTTTAGCATGGTGAAGGGAGTAGAGAAGAGAGTTCATGAAATTTAATTAGAGTAAGTAGGAGTGTTTAACCTGGAGAACAAAAAATTTAGGGAGGGACATGCTAAGTGTCTCCAATTATCCAAAAGGCTGTCCCATTCCACAGAAGAGGGATCGGCTCTATTCTGCACAGGCTCAGAAGCCAGAAATGAGAGTAACGGAGGATGCAGGGGACATTGCGGAGACATGAACTTGGGCTCGTCCATAAGGAAAACTTCCTTACATCGAGAAGTAGCCAAAAGTGGAATGAGCTGTCCTGGGAAGTAGCGAGCTCTCTGTCCCTAGCAGTCTTTGAGAGAAGGCTGGATTTCTCCTTGTGTTGGAAGAGGACTGGTGCTTCAGAACAGGGTGGGACCAGATGGATTCCAAGGTCCCTCAAAGTCATAGATTCCATAATTCCTTGGCAGCAGTAAGAGCTATGGATGAATACACAAGAGTCAGGAGCAGAGAGAGCTGAGACACAGGGCTCTCCTGCATTGTGCTTCCAACAGACTTAATTATCCTGAGTAATTGCAGGGAGTATTGTTCCTCTTATCCCTATCCTCCTTAGCAATGCCCAGTGAAGGATTAGACAACCTTCTAATTTTCTGGATCCCTCCAGGGAGGCAGTAAAAGGTTCCAGGTCTTGGAATCAGGAAATCTGGACACCAGCCGACCTCTGCCCCCAGTCACATGTTAGCTGTTCGTTCTTGGTCCTTTCTGGGTAAGGGTTTCTCTGCCTTGCCCGAGTCATGGGGCTATTGTAAGGATCCAGTAAGGCAGCACCTAGGAAATCGTTGGGAAAGGGAAAGAGAAATGGAGAGTATCTCTTCTGTGATTGTGATTGTGAAAGAACCCCCAACAGGGACCTGACTCAGAGAATCCCAGGATTTTGAGTTAAAAGGGAGCTTAGGCCAGGGAATGCCAGGGCTGGGAGGGGCCTGAGAACAGGGAATGTCAGA